GATGAACGCACCGCCAATCCTGCGCTGGCAACAGGATTGCCACGTCTCCCTGAAAACTCCGGGTGCGATATGGCGAATCCCATATGTCTTCCAGTCTCGCCGCCCGGCTTCCCGTCTTCGAATTTCGGAAGTAACGCAAAAGGACGAATGGGGAAGATCAAGCTCTTTCCTACGCGCGATCGGATCGAAACTCATTCCTAAGGGAGTTTCATGCTAAACACGCCAGCATAGCGAACGTGCTTAACACCATGAAATGTGAAAATGGCTATGTGCAATTGTGCGCCACAGGAGTCGAAGCCCCAGACAACGACTCGAAAAAGTGAGACGTGAAACGGAAAGGCGCATCGAAGTGTAAAATCAGATTCGGACATGCCGGTGCGTCCTGTACCAGTCAATCCAGCGTTGTCTGGCAGCTTTGAAGTCAAAGTCACGATCCCGCGGATCAATCACAAGTGCGCTCAAAAGAGCAGGAGTGAGTATCTTGATCTTCGAGTTCAAGGCATACTTTCCTGTCTGCTTTGCAAAGAAATCGCGCAGGTGCAATTCAACCTCTGATGCAAAGGGAATGAGTGGCCGGGTTTTCAAACCAGCCGCTTTGACCCGAAAACCAAAGGTCCTTCTCGTGTCGGCGTCAGCTGTGGAAAGGTGCCAGGGGATAAGCCTTTGCCCAGTAATGGTACTGGTCGACTGTAAAGCACTTCTCAGACTGAAAGCTTGCGCACCCAAAGTCTTTTCGGTGTGAATCATTGATCGATGTATGCCAGGCGTGACATACGTACCATTGATATGGGGATGCTGGTTCGGAAAAGGGCAACCAGTGAAAAGGCTAAAAGAGATGACGAGTTCCGCCCACGTGATGCGCCGGCTATTCTCAAGTTCTTCTGGCCATTGCAGAGCAATGTTGGCCAGATCACAGTACGGATTACCAATGTAGCGAGTCGGACCTGGCGCGTCATGCATATGCTCAGCAGGATCACTGGCATCAACAGGGTGATTGATAGCATGCATATATGTTCTCAACGCAGTGGCGATTATCGTGTAGATCGCAGGTAAACGAAGCTTACAACGACGTTGCTGTCCGATGTGTTCGTCAATGACATGTTGCATTCCAGGAACCGGGCTCGAGAGAGCAGCTCTCGCTGCAGCGTCTGCAGCATGGTTCCCGGCAGCATGGTACCTGTTCTCATCTGCCCCCGCAGGGATGAAGTGGCTTTTGACCTTCAAGTGCAAGATCACTCCGTCATCTCGAGACCATGCATGAATATTTGCATAAAGCATTGTCAAAAGATCGAAGTCTTTGTGAGTTGCAAAGTCTGTAATACGGCCACCTCTGCAAAAATAATGCAAATGTCCCAATGCAACCTGGCTATCACTCACGATACGGACATTCTTAGCCGAAGCAACTGCAACAGCGATGGCAGTGAGTTCGGCTCTGTTTATAGATTGCCGTCCCGGTGTGCGTCCACACTGCAGAACCTGGAATTGCTCGACAAGCTGTCAAAGTCATGCTGAGGGACCCGAGGTTGCAATCCGCGTACCGGGTCCTGAACAACTGCCCATGAGGACTGTGCACAATGTGGTAACTGAGCATCCTGACAACTGCCATCTGTATAAAAGGTGATGATGTCATCGCAATCTTGTGGGTCAGCAGCCCTCGGAATGGGTAAACATCGCCAATACCTCGTGACAGCAGTGGCTTCCGGTGCGCACACCGGCCATAGTGATCTGGCCTGCTCAGGCGTGAGTTGCTCAAGTTCTGGATGAGCTTGGCGGAGCTCGTGAGTTGCCGTGCAGCGCAAAATCCGGTGGTCGAGGGTGTCTGGTTGGCCACAAAGTGCGCAAGCATCTGTGGTGTCTTTCCAATGCTTTGCTGTTGTCTGAGTGACAATCCCACCACATAGGTATGTTCGGATAAGGCGTGCATCTTTGGGCGCAATTTTTCCCAAGAGACTGGTACACTGCTGTACACAAATCGGTGGGAGATCGGCAGCTCTCGAAGTGCTCATGATCTCCCCCTGGACCTGTTCCTTCCATGCGACAAGGATGAGATTATGGATCTCCTGGGTGTTATCGTCAAGGAAATGTACGGGCACGGCGCCAGGGAAAACCAAGTATCCATCATCCCGTGGTGTAATCTTTAAGGACGCAAGATATGCTGCAAGTGCCCTCTGGTCCAAAAGCACGTTTAGGATTGCCAGAGTTGCGAATACTGCTCAGGAAATTTTGCGAGGGCCCTCTTGGCCGCAGTGATAGTTCTTAGGATGACGTACCCTTGGGTCGTGGATGCCACGGTCAACTGTGAGCAGGACGGCCTTTGGGTTGATTCCCCTTGTCTGCTTTGCAAAAATTGCGGCCGCAGAACTGCGAAGAGATTTGAGGACGTTGAGGCCGATGTAGCTGACCTCGCATGCATAGAATCCCGCTTGATATGCACCGCGTTCAGCGTCGATCCCGGGTCACTTGGGCGCAACGATCTGGCTCGCTCGCCGCTTGCCTTCAGCGATTCTGTTGGCAAGGGATCCTAGCTTGGTGGATTTTTGGTACCTGGCAAAACTCCCGAGATTCTTCTGCCCAGCAACGTATTTGAACTTCGATTTGATTTCCAACTCAGAGCGTGGACCGGAGGTCCATGCCCAGCTTTTAGTCTTCCAGTCTCGCCGCCCGGCTTCCCGTCTTCGAATTTCGGAAGTAACGCAAAAGGACGAATGGGGAAGATCAAGCTCTTTCCTACGCATGGCTTGCGATCCCGAGTCCGGGTTCGTGCAAGTGCGCCGGCCTAGGCGAACGCACCTGCACACGTAGCTGGAGCTAGTCGAAAGGCCGGTCACTAAGACTCAAAGCCTGTGAAAACAACCACATGCAAGGCCGGTCACTAAGACGCAAAGCCTGTGAAACAAATCGCAAATGAAGGTCCCCCATTCCAGCTGAGTCAAGGGATTGCGTCCGTGTCGCAACCTGGCAAAACGCATGTACCCCCGTCTTTGAAGTTCAGGGTCGTGTACGATGTCTTCCGGTTCTGGTGTAACCACACGAGCAGGCAATTTCAAAATGGTCCCTGTGGCAAGTTTGCCTGGCTGCTTTGCAAAGTATTGGTGCAATAAGTCAATGGTCTCATTCTCAAAAGGAAATCGCGGCCGCGCCACAAAGCCTGCAACTTGCCATGAATACCCAAAAATCTCATGTGTATTGACACGAGTAGCAGCACGGTGCCATGGCACAAGCGGACAGTACTGAGCGATTGCAAACTGCTTCGAAAGGCAAAACTCTCACCACCGAGGGTTTTCTGTTCAACATTGAAAACCTTGTGGATGCCAGGCGTGAGATATGTGGTGGGCAACTTCGGGTTAGCAGTTGGGATACACAGGCCGCTTGCTGCCTCCTCAGGTGGCCAATGAAGTTCCTGAAGCCAGTGCATCAGCTTGAAATTGAAAGTCACCCCCCATGGGGATGCTCGGCGCCACTCATCCTCATGTTGTAATATCGGAGAGGAAAAATGCCGTTATAGGTGTCCTCCCGAACCAGCGGGATTCTTTCGAAGGTCTCATGCTCAACAGCTCTTGACACATACGATCGAATTGCACGAGCAATGGCTTTGTATAAAGTCGGCAAAGTATGATCCGAATGTTTCGTCTGTTGGGCCAGCGCCTGAAAAATGTGGGTGAATCCTGGGATCTGGCAGTTGAGTACTTCCTTGGCGGCCCGGTCAGCTGCCTCGTTCCCTGCTGCATGTACAAGTGCTCTCCCTTGACGCTCAGGAATGAAATGGCTCTTGACCTTTGTAAGTGTAACGTTGCGAAGGCTCAGAGGCCATTTGTGAATTGCCTCAAAAAGGAAGTTGACGACGTCAAAATTCGGATGTAGGCAAAACCGCGATATACACTTATTTCAGGTTCGGCATCCTTACGTGGGAAGGAATGCAGCACACATTCTCTTCCCACAAACCCACGTTACAACCGCCACTTGTCGCACCCTCCTAAAGGAAGGTCTCGAAGTGGGGGGGGTATGGGAACACCATCCCGGTTTGAGCCAAAGTCAAACGTCATTTAAACGGCTCGAGCCAAACTCAAATGTCATTTTGAAAATGGCCGGCACGGCCAAAAGGAATTACGAACAAACGCATTTAAGCGGTCAGCAAACGGGCGATGCCCATCACAGGCATCACATGTCTGAATGGATCAAACAGCTCAACGACTCAAACGGCAAACCACTCGGCTCTTTTCTAACGCTGATGCAGTGGGGAATCACGGTGCGTCCCCGCACGTTAGTTGAAAGGGCTTTTGTCATTCCACACCAAAAAGAGGAAAGACAGAACCCAAGCTCATGCTTGGTCCGTGTGGCTCATGCCACGTGGCTCATGCCACTTGCCCCTTCTAGGGTGGGTTGGGTGGGACGAAAACAAAATGTGACACTGCTCTTTTGGCAAGTGTCTTTCCCACCGCCCTCCCAGCCACATGGCTGCTATTCGGAAATTCACATCAATTTCGTTCAAGCATGCCATGCGCACGGTTGACAAGAAATAAGTGTCCGTTCACTCATGTGCCTACAAAACGGACCACTTGCTGGTATCAACCGAATCAGCCAAAGGAGGAAACACCTCAACGTGGGAAACATGGGATGCGAACAGGAAATAAAACGTCATCTTCCTCCGGAAGAGTCCTAGCTTATTTCAGGTTCGGCATCCTTACGTGGGAAGGAATGCAGCACACATTCTCTTCCCACAAACCCACGTTACAACCGCCACTTGTCGCACCCTCCTAAAGGAAGGTCTCGAAGTGGGGGGGGTATGGGAACACCATCCCGGTTTGAGCCAAAGTCAAACGTCATTTAAACGGCTCGAGCCAAACTCAAATGTCATTTTGAAAATGGCCGGCACGGCCAAAAGGAATTACGAACAAACGCATTTAAGCGGTCAGCAAACGGGCGATGCCCATCACAGGCATCACATGTCTGAATGGATCAAACAGCTCAACGACTCAAACGGCAAACCACTCGGCTCTTTTCTAACGCTGATGCAGTGGGGAATCACGGTGCGTCCCCGCACGTTAGTTGAAAGGGCTTTTGTCATTCCACACCAAAAAGAGGAAAGACAGAACCCAAGCTCATGCTTGGTCCGTGTGGCTCATGCCACGTGGCTCATGCCACTTGCCCCTTCTTCTCCCCCCTGCAAAATTGGCATAGTGGCTTCCGAAATGAGATTACTGATGTCCAGGTGCATTCTCTCACCAAGGCCCTTGAGGTCGTCGTCGCCCCGGGAAGGCTTGTCAGCTATGTTCGAAGCGGTGTTCACCCTTTCGAACCAGCACACCACGTTCCCTGCGTCCAAGATTGCCAACGTGTTGTCGACCAGTCTCTGCCCCAATGGGTTAACTGATTTCCCAGATATCATCGAAGCAAGGGACCCATTGTTGTCAGTGAACACGATGACATGGCAGGACTCAAGAGTTGGAATCCAAAGTTTCAAACCGCAAAACATGGCAAAACACTCAAGCTCGTAGATTGGGTTCTTGCTTCCCTCACGCGCAAGTGCCATCGCTTGCTTTAGTTCCATCTGCTCGCTGAAAACTGACACTGGTCCGAAGTCTGGCAGGATCAAAACACCTCCGATTCCACCAGGCATGTCACTTCCACCTTCGAAGCTTGCATCCACATAAATGTGCCAAGTTTGATGAACACGTGTCGTGATTCGCTTGGGCTTATTTCCGCAAAGGCCCATCTTCAATCCTTTCAGCGCTTGCCCAAGACTCGCATCGACTGTCTTCTTCCCACTCATTATGTGCTCCGAGAGGACTCGCAGATGCAGCCGTCCTGAATGCCCGAAGATCTGATTTTCCGCGAAGATTAGCCTTCCGCGAAGACTCGCACCATCTCCCGCTGACAGAACCCCCGTCACCAAGACAGTGTCAATGGCTCCGCACAATTCTCGCTTTCGCTTTTCAGTATTTTCGACCAGCAAGATTCCAAGCTTTGTTTCTGCAAGATTGAATTTGAGGCCCAATGCGACAGCAGCGGAATCAAAGGATGACTCCTTTTCAGCGGAAACTTCCCATCCCAAGAGCTGGAAGTAAAGTTCAACCATGCGTTCGGTTTGACTGCAAAGCAAAGACTCTTCGACACAAATGTAGTCGTCAAAATACACTGACCAGTGTACAAGGAAGGTCGCCACTGCTATGTGCCAAATGCCCGATGCAACTCTGCAAAAGGCGTGCACAGACGCTCTGGCGCCAAACGGCATCACAAATTGTCCAAAGATTTTTGTCTGCTTTGCATCAGGGTCGTAAACACACAAATAGCTGTCACGCAGGGAGTCCTCGCTCACCGGCAGCTGTTTGTATGCCTTCCTGAGATCCCAGGCCTTGGCGGCCAAAACTCTTCGCGGGTTGTCCTCGCCCAACTCATGAAGTCTGTAAGAAATGGCAGCCGCGACACAATCTGCTGTGTGTATAGTGATCGTGTCCTCGCTCGAAGCTGTGGCATTCAAACATGACTCCTTGAAGTTGTCGATGGGTCTGCATTTTTCTCCCTGCCACACCCCGAACCGTCTGGTGACGCTCGAGGTGTTGCTCAAAGAAGATTCGGCAACTGGGCCCCAAAGCCATCCCTTGCGCAGTTCCTCCTCCGTGCTGTCGTACACTGCTTTGTCCAACTCAGGATCACCCGAGGATTGAGCACTTCTCAGGATAGGCGCCATCTTCCGCAAGTCACTTACTGCAAGGGTGGCCCCAGTCAGTTTCTTTCTGAATGCTGGAGATGCAGGAATGTGACCACCAATTGAGAAACCCTGACTCATCTCATTTGCAATTTTGGCATCTGAGTATTCACTTGCCACAAGCATCTCCTCGAAAAGACACAATCTTTTGTGGCGAAGTACATTCTGACAATGTTCCGGCAGCTTTTCCCGTGCAAGAGTTTCTGCTTCTTCGAGGTCACGAGCTCTGTCGACCCACCGCCTCATTTGTTCGACACGGTGCGCACTGACCCAAGCAACTCCCTTAGTGGCGATTGTGGTCACGGCTTCACGCAAGACACTGGGCACACCGTTTATCAGGTCTTTAGGGTGCTTAGCCGACGAAGCCACCTGAACAAACTCATCTGGTGTCCATGGAATTCCGAAATTGACTAAAGCCACATTATTTGGGTCATTAGCGCAACCAGTTTGCACGGTCGGTGATCTGTCGCTGCTGGAAGCTTCGTCCTGCCTAATTCCCCCACTTTCACAAGCACGAAGCCTACGGGAGCCCACAGGTAAAGTGGCGAGTGGGGGCACGGACTTGACGGACGGCGGCAAAAGGAAGTCCTGCTCAAGTTTACCTGAAGGGATCTGGTGGCCGGGTCCCTGTAACTGTACTACACAACGAAACTCAGGCACAAGTGGAGGGACCTTCCGGCCGCGAGGTTGCAGCCCGAGCGCTACTCTGGCACTGATATGCGGGTTGCTTTCGGACATTTCTGCAACGCATGAGACCGGCTTGACTGCCCCAAATTCTACAAGTTGTCTGCAAATCAAGCTCGCCCACACTTGGCACAGAGGGATGGGGTACGCGGTTTCCTCGGATGTGGCCCATTTGTTGCCGCTGCGTCCCCACGGCAAATGAACATGCGTCTGGCTTTCTCCTGGACAAGTGAGGCTTAAATTGCACAACTCAGGCACACTGTGATGCAACTGGGTCAGTTTGGCCCTCTGACCGCCGTAGCAACAATGGTGGAAAAAAGTGCGCCACAGGGGCAACTTGTCAATGCACTTACGATAGTGGCTGGTCAACCACATGAATGATCTGCCGGGATTTTCGACACTGGTCATGATTCCTAAGGAATACGCCTTGGCGACCCAAGCACTGGTTTTGCTATACAACAAATTGGCGGCTTTAACGCGGGCCAAAAGGGTCCCTTCCAAGGTTTGGACCCCATCGGGGAACGCTTCACTCCTGGTAACAGGAGGGTTGTATCGGCCCTTGCGTTGAATGCAACGTGCCCTTGAGGCAGTCCCACATGGAGGCGCAAAATGTATGTAAACCACATTTGGATTCACAAAGAACTGGTCAAACAGTTCATCAGCACCGGGCTTAAGTAAGTCAATTTTGAGCGTCGCTGCCACGACCTTGCTGTGTATGCTAGCGTCGACCCCCACGCTGCTGGCGAGGCCTAACTTGCGGATTTCACAGGTCAATCTTCCCGTGCCGCAAAAAATTTCAACACAAACAAGGTCCTCCACATGCTTGCCCTTAAGGCGCGCTTGCACGCGTTCAAAGAAAGACTCATGCCGGTACTCTGCCTGTCACTCATGCTTGTGCAAGGGATGGTTCCTTCCGCAGTTCCATTCCATGCAGATGTGAACACCCTTCGGGCACTCACCTCCATCTTTGACATCAGTGTGGCTACAGCCATGGGGAAGGTTGTAGTCCCAGCAAATGCGCTTGCCCTTTCCTGTCACATGCCGTTTGCCTCGCAAGGCCTCAGGCATGTTTTTGGGCTGCTTGTGCTTCCCTTTGGTCTTGCCCTTTCCCTTGATCACCCCGCCTGACTTCTTGCTAGGCCTGGACTCACTGGGTGATTCGGCCGGCCGGTCTCTTTTGGGAACTGCCCCAGAAGGCAGGGGTAGCAGCTGAAAACACACTTGCGGGTCAGTCTCCAACCTAGGGAAAGCTGAGTCCAAAGGTAACTGGCCATCGGTCCCGCGCTTCAATCCGCTCTTCACCAATTCACTCAGGCGCAGCCATGCACGCTGGTCTGCTTTCAGGATCTGCACCACATCCACCTGTCGGTATCCTGGCGGGGATGGCTCCTGCAGGCACCGCATCAGCATCGAATGGTATTTTTCCACCACATCAAAACTGGCTGCACCTACCAGGTCCAAGCACAACGCTCGTCTGGTGAGCGCCTGCAACAACAGAAGCTCGGATGAGGTGTCACAATGCGGTACTTGAGCGTTGCTCTTAACAGCCAGGCTTTGGTTATTGGTAACCAGTATCTCCTGCTTCTTCTTCTCATTCAACAGCTCAAAACGTCTGGACGGAAAACGATTTGGATGCAAATAAGTGACTGCATTGTCCTGGAGCATCTTCATCACTGTGTCGTATCCAGCGTACCCGCATTCCAGTTCGCCCTCTAGGCTGAGACCACGCAGTCGCTCAGCTTGGCGCTTCATGCGGTCCTCGCGCTCTGCTGGTGCCAGTTCGGTCGCACATTCGTCAGATTTGCCTTCCACTGTCGCCTTGATCTGAGCAATCATCAAGGTTTGACTCTCGAATACCAGGCGTCTCAAAGCGCTGATTTCTCCAATCGTGCAATTCCGCTCTCCGCCATCAATCAGTCCCTCGAGGTCGGCTTGACTCGGTGTGTCTCCAGGTTGCCCTACACTATAAGCAATCTTCGCCATCGTGTCAATTCCCCGATTGATGAGGCGCTCGATGGAATCATCAGGCAGTCCAACTGTACCAGCATGCTCTCTGAAAACTGCCTCACTGTCAACGAGACTTACCATTGCCACGCCTGATGCACCTAGTCAAATGGGTCAGTGACGAATGCCGCACTAAATCAAGGGTTGCCTCGGGTTATTGGGGCGCATCAATGCATTGGCAGAATTTTTTTATTTTTTTTAACCCGATTTCACGAAGAGCTTGGGAGTCCCATTAAAAATTTGCTCATGCTCCGACTCAAGCTTGAGCCTGTGGTAGTCGGGCACACCCTCGTCTCGCTCATGCGGACGTGGTTCTGCTCATGCAGATTTGTGCTCATGCACATCAAAAATGCCCAACTCACCAACTCCCAAACTCTCCCTTCGTGTATCAATTGAACCAGCCGACCTCTCGAACTGGGGGAAGGGGCGGAAACAGAAAGGGAAAAATCACGAAGGCACCCGTGTTTCCTCAAACGCGTCCATAAAAAGATGTGGACAAGATTTGGGCCTCATGGCCCTCACCTCGGGTGCCCATGCACCCATGGGCTCATGCCCCCGCAGGCTCATGCCCGAGGTTCCAGCGAACCGCAATGTTCCCCGAGTGACTTTATCAACACAAGGAGCAATTCGAAGGTGGGCCCCCCCCCCCCGTTTCCCCTTTCTGAAAACCAAGCGACCTGACTCAGACCCTTCATGCGGCTGGTTTCATTTATACTCACCGTCGGAAGTCTAGCTGGTTTTCTGACGTCTTCCGAAAGCCTCATCCAACATGTTCACACATTGGCCAACCGTCCTGACAGCCTTCCCGCTGTCGCACTGCTTGCACCGCCAGCTTGAGGAGAAAATTCGACTGTTGAACAGTATTGTGTCACCCGTCAATTGCCGACCGCACACGAAGCTCGTCACCTTGCTGTCAGCCTTTCCTCCATCAGGCAACAAGTGCAAAGCCCTTGTTCGCTTGTTTACATATATGGTGCATTGCGGCTTCCATTCGAAAACCTGTTCAGTGCGGCTCGGCTCAATCACCTCGTCCGGTTCAGACTCCTCACTCGAAGAACTCGTCGATGAAGATCCACTTTCCTCACCGGAACTCGCAGCAACTGACTCGACTGTAGCGGGTTCCTCTGCGTCTCCAATACCGGCTTCCTCATCTTGCATCTCAGAATTTGGAATCTTCGCAGCTTCTTCCAGGGGTTCCGTCCTTTCCGGATACATTCCGCTTCGCGTGGCATCTGGCAAATACGTTCCATCACGAATGGACTTCAAGACAATTGCGAATTCTCTAAGAGGTCCGCTCTGCATGTCTCTTGAATATGTTTCCAACGTCCCCAACTTCTTCAAGCTGTGATGTCCCAGAATCAAGCGCGTTGTCTCACTCACGCCCGCTTTTGCCATCCATGCAAGTGTAGTCGCCTTCATGCCATGCGAAGTCAAGCCTCGACTGACTGGCTTCCCGGTAGCCACCTCAATCAGGCCGACCAGCCACCTCGAGACTTCATTCGCTGACGTTGGCCTGTCGGTCCACCTCCCCGATTCATCAACTGCAGGGAGAAGGGGGCCACGTCTGGTATTGTCCAGAGGCAATCCAACTGCTTTCGCAATTTCCACAAATGCAGCCAACCAACTTTGAGTGCGCAAGCCATGTGAAGGCGCAACCAAGATGAGGGCCTGGCCAGATTTTCCGTGGTAGCGCTTGTTCTTGTGCTCCATGGTTCTGACCTCCAGGAATCCTGATCCCTCAAACAAGTCGATCTCCACGCTGCTGACTGCACGGCAATCACTCACTCTCGCACGAGAATAAATCATGAAGAGGAAAATGCCAGCCGCATACAAATCTTGGTTTGATGCACCTTTGTTAATGACCAACTTCTCAAGTGCCAGAACTTCTTCGGCTGTGAGCACACGGGATTGCTTCCGCTCTCCTTTCGCGGCTTCTGCACCCCTCACTGCGCCCTTCATCCAAGGGCTATCAATGACTGCATCGCAACCGTCGAAACCCAAAACATGTTTGAGAAAACGAAAGGTCTCCATGGCTTCAGAAATGGCACTGTACCTTTCTTCCTCGCAAAGCTCTCCAACATATCCCATGGCAAAATTCAAGCTCAACGGAAAAATTGACAGCTCTGCATCTTTGCCCCATTTGATCCATCTCTTGACGCAAGATGCCCTCTTTGCCAGGGTGGTTGGGCTTTTGCCCGCTAGCACTTGTGCAACGATTTTCACGCCCGCTGCTTCTGAGTCGCTGACCTTCAATAGTCTCCCCGTCGAAGAGGCATCAAAATCAATGGATAAAATGCACATCCACCTGCGGGCCACTTCCTCCATGTCAGGGGTTGGTTTGTGCCAGCTTCTGCGCATTTGCATTGCATCTGAGAAAATACAAGTTTCACATCCACCAACCTGTGATCCAGAGGCCCCGGCTGTGTCCTCGACGACGGTCTCCACGGACGAACCTCCATGAATGCGTTCAACAGGTCGTGGATCAAACTGAGCAAACCCCCACGAACCAAAGACAGGTTTGAAAGGGGGTTTCTCCCAAGGCAACTGCAACTGCCGGCACTGCGATGAGCTCCACTTTGCATCCAATAAAGACCCTCGCAAATTGTTCAAAACCCGCTGCTTGCAAGTCGGTTTTGCTTTGTGCAACGAAGGTGTACTGTTGGATTTATGGTTCACACCAAAAGGGGCTGCCGAAGACAGGAACGGTGTCGAGTCAATATCATCAGGCAACGGTTTACCAGTTCCAGCTGTTCCTGTATCAGAATAACCGTCAGCAAGCGAAAAACCGTTGCCCTCGCCGTTAACCCCCTCAGATGTTGCACAGGCTTCACCATCGAAAACTGCTCGTCTCTGAGCACTCGCTCCGCCATCTGGAACGGGAAGAAGAGCATCCTTCCCATCCATACCCCCCTGTCCGCCAGAAGGATGCGACGCCATCAGCGCAAGCACCGCGAAAGTCTATCCAAAAGACTGCGCTGATACTGTTGCAAGAATATTCCAGTCAAATGAAATAAACGCTGAAGCTTTCGCAAATGCAAAAGCGCGTGTATCAGCCTCCGCCAATTGTGTACGACGTGAGCACGGCGCCTAGAGGGGCAAGTGCCCATGGCACGACGAAAACAAAATGTGACACTGCTCTTTTGGCAAGTGTCTTTCCCACCGCCCTCCCAGCCACATGGCTGCTATTCGGAAATTCACATCAATTTCGTTCAAGCATGCCATGCGCACGGTTGACAAGAAATAAGTGTCCGTTCACTCATGTGCCTACAAAACGGACCACTTGCTGGTATCAACCGAATCAGCCAAAGGAGGAAACACCTCAACGTGGGAAACATGGGATGCGAACAGGAAATAAAACGTCATCTTCCTCCGGAAGAGTCCTAGCGCTCCCGAAATGATGTCTTGTGTGAGCTGGAGTGCCGTTTTGCTATCACTGACAACATGCACATCATGAGATGCGTGAAAGGCGCATGCAATTGCAAGAATCTCAGCCCTCGTGATGGTCTGACGTCCTGGCACCCGTCCGCACTTGAATACCTGAAACTGAGAAACAATAGCCTGGAAGTCCTGGGGGGGGTAGCCTGTCAAGTTCATCGAGAGGCTGCATTGTGTATACAACCGCCCACGAAGCCTGAGCACATCCATAAAACTTTGAATCAAAGCAACTCCCATCTGTGAAGCAAACGAGTTGTCCTTCAACCTCAACAGTTCTCTCGACTGAGAGGAACGGGATCCCTTGTATGAGCTTGGCAATGGTAGATCTTTCCTCTGTATGAATGGCCCATGGGGCCGCTGCCTGAGTCTCGCTGAGGGCATCGAGGATGGTAAATTCCTGTCTCACCTCACCAGTCGCACAACATCGTTTGATTCGATGCGCTCGAGTATCATGCGCTCCACAGCATGGGCAATCCGTTTGGATATTCTTCCAATGGTGGGCTTGACAGTTTGTTGGAAAACCACCACAGAGATAGGTCCTGACTACCTTGGCGTCCTTTGGTTCCAACTTCTTCAGGGCACGGTATGTGAGCTCCGGGCTAACATTGGCGAGATCTTCGAGCTCATTCCGTTCTCGGAGTTCGGCTTGCACCTGATCTCCTCAACAAGGGTAAAGGGTCCATTGATAAAGTCAACCGGGGAGATTCCCTGAAGTGTAAGGTATCCTCCAGCATGGGGTTTGATCCCGAGGGAGTTGAAATACGCCGCAAGCACACTCATAGGTCCATAGGTGCGATTCGGATCACCCGGATCATTTACAAGCTTTGACCAGAAGTCCTTGAAGACAATCGGCATCGTGTGAATTGCCCGTCTGGCCGACCAGGCTGCTCTCAAAATTGCACAGATACGCGGATC